GTGCCACCCATACCTGTTTGTAAGGCATCTCATATCCTATTCCAAGTAATATTACATTATGCTGGGAGTACAATTTGTAACCTTTATATATTTTATGTCTCAACCAGAACTTCATGTACAGGCTGCTTAAGGTGTAGCTTCCACTAAATATATAGTGTAGAGAAACATTTTCGTTATAACTGAAAATGACTTTTTGTTTTTGTTTTTGGCAAATTTGGCTTAAAATTTTTATCAAAACACTTCTGCTAAGTATCTACTGACCTTAGCTCCTTCATTTACCAAGAAACTAATAACAGATACTCCACTGACCAAATTAGGAACATGTGAATTTTTAATAATACTTTTTCTTTCCTGAAATGCAGCCCTTTGCTTTAATAGCATGAAAAGAAAAGGCTTAATGCAGAAAAGACTCCCCAATGGCCTGTTTGCATTTAGTGTCGTATTTGGTGAATTAACTTGTTTGATTGTTTTTACACATAGATGGCTACACTTGTACTAAGTATCCAATGAGCCAATTACAGTACTGCCTGTCTCGCCCGTTCACCCTTTTCATCGATTTACGAAAATATTTAACGTTATCCTAATTTGCTGTTAAAAATAACACCATCTATATTTATAGCACTAGTAAGAATACGTTTTTCCCACCAATTCAAGGAAAGGTGAAATCAGGACTAGCAGAGCCATCCATGGACAGAGATATTTCACAAAAATATAAAAAATTTAATTTTCCCCGGCAGCAATGGGTTAAATCAGCCTCCACCTCCATACTCTGCCAAATAACTTCCCAGAAAATCATCTACCTGCACCAGTCTCATTGTACCTGTGCTCCCTCCACCATTCACCCAATGACATGAAAGAAAATTACTTACATGTACCAGTCTAGTAAGTGTTTATCAGCAGTAATAATTCACCAAATACATGACTTTACATTATATCATATAGTCTGCAGCTGCTGTTAAAAGTATCATATAATGTACTTAAAACTAATGCTCTTTCCACTGCTTTCACAAAAGATTTTTCTTGTTGGAATATATCTTAACGGCCATATTAAAAAGCAGAATCTGTATTTAGTTTTACCTTCAGTGTCAGTTTCTTGGTGACTGGTGATTTTAGTACCATAATGCTGTTACTGAAAGAAGCCCAAGGCAATGAAGAATATACAGCTCAACCTTGATAAACATCATGGAGGCTTTTAAGAGCTGACTTAACGTGATAACTTATTTGCGTCTGTAATGACAGAATCAGAGATTTCAACGTTCTTTTCTCTAATCTGTGCCATGAAATAAGGATTGCTTGCTTGTCTGACGGCATTTTATTCTTTTTTCCTTATGATGTAAAAGCAAAACAATGTTGAATGGGGTTCAAGTGTATTTATTTTTGGCTGTGATTTCCCAAACACATTTTGCTACAAGAGACAAACCTTGCCTTGTCATTAAAAAAGAGAAAGAAGAAGAAGAAGAAGAAAAAAAAATACTTACAAAGCCGCATTGTTCTCCTTGCAATCATTATAGGATTGACAATATATACAATGTGCTGACTAACGGACCAACAGGCCTAAATTTATTGAACACGGCTGACAAAATCAAGTACACACTACTTGTCATTTTCATATTTACGTTCAAAAGTATTTGTACAAAAATATCTGCTGGGATTCAGAAAATGTATGATTTTTTTCTTTTCCTTTTTTTTTTTTTTATGTTTTATTTCCCCCCCTCTCTCTCTCTCTCTAACTTTATGAAACTAGAAATTACAACAGCAAAAAGTCAATAAATCTTTGTCATCATTTTGGAAACACACAGCAATCAAAAAAACAATTATTTATGAGAAAATCTTACTCATGCTTTAGAGTGACTCGTGACCACATTTTTTTTCTATTTATTTTTTCTTTTCTTTTTTTCATTTTTACGACTCTACAATATATATGAACCTTATGAAAGAAAAGAGAAATTTTAAGAAAGTTTGAGTAAAGGAACCAAAGAAGAGCAAGAAATAAATTTTGTGTATAATGTAGCTTGCAAGAGAATTTTTCTTTAAATAAAAGCAAGAAAGAAGAAGAAGAAGAAGAAAAAGGAGAAGAAGAAGGAGATGAAAATTAATTACTATAATTTTCTTCAACCATTGATGGCCAGATGGCACTTAAATATAGGCCATGTCCACTGTGATTAGTTTATTAATGTTGTTTATTAATTATTAATAATTATTCATAATATTTAGTTTATTAATTATCAATAATTAATCACACAGATTGCTCCACTAGAGCTAATTACTAGGTCTGTCTAACTGACCCGTTTACCCTTTTCTTGATCTCTGAAAAGTTTCTTTTTCAACTTTTATTGCTGTTAATATTTCATTAGCATCATAATAATCATGGCAACAACAATAATAAAATTAACAGAAAAAGAAAAAGAAAAAGAAAGAAAGGAGGAGGTAGAGAAGAAGGCAGAAGAGAAGGAGGAGGTGGAGAAAGAAGAAAATGAAAATTCAAGGAATGAGGAAATCAGGTGAGATATAAGGCCTACTGACTGACTCCTTGGTGAATGAGCACTTGTGGGACCATCTGTGTTCACAAAATTCGCAAAACAAAACTACAGCAGTCAGTCTATGTACTTGCCATCAATGAATTAATTATCTAGAGAGTACTATAATACATAATAAAATGTCTAATGAATATCTTGCAGAAGAAGAAGAAGAAGAAGAAGAAGAAAAAAAGAGGAAGAGATATCAAATGGTAAAGAAGAAAGTAAAGAAAATGTATTCTGTGACATTTTAGCAGAGCGATGTTCATGATCTTCCTGTGATATCAATGTGAAATACATGATTTATGGGGGAAATAAACTACCTTTCAAAATAAAACAGAAAGAAAGAAAAGAAAGAAAAGAAAAGAAAGAGAGAAAACATCCATAATCTGTGCCACATACAAGGATGACGTTGCAATATGGAACTGGAAATAAAAATATGACATTTCTGAGGGGTTTCAGTGCTAAATATGGTAATTTATTTATATAAAAGCTTTATACAAGAAGAAAAATATTATCTGTGCTTTAAGAAAAATAGTATTAGTAATAGTAATAATGATAATAATAATATTCAATTGGGCAATGAGTGGAAAGAATGCATATATTACCATTACTATCATCATTACTATCATTAATATTAATGATTCTGATACAGATAATTGTCAATTAAGTAAAAAAACAAAAAATAACAATACTTAATGCCACAGTAACCTATTTGAAAAACCAAGAATAATTCCATTATCTCTATCTAAACGAGGTAACATCTATATGGAAAAAAAAAACAAAAAAAAAAAAACAAAACAAAAAAAAAAACTATATAAATAAATCTTCCCCTCTGGACTGGGGGAAATAGATAAACAAGTTCAAAGAAAAATTCCCCCAATATAAAGATCACAAAGAACCTGTCAAAAGTTCAAAAGTCTCCACATTACATACATATATATATTCAGCTATTGCTCAGGATGACTAGGTAACCATCTAATGAAATGAATAAAGACTTCATTACCTCGCCATTTACATCATGTGATCAACTGTGAGACAGTGGGCCTTCATAAAAAAGAAAAAAAAACAAATGAAAAACATAAAGATAACAAGACATACATTACAATTAGGAAAAATAAAAAGGATGATAAAAAAGAAGTTTACATTCACACACAAACATAAATTTGTGTATACATACATATACATTTATATTTATGTATATATATACATACACTCACACATATATATATACACACACATATGTTGCTAGTCCCTTGCCTCGGCCTTGTGCTTTGGTGGTTTAAATCCTTTGAATTTCTTTGCAGACTTTCCCTTCTGAAAGTCCTTCCAACTGTTCACTCGGTCCACTCGAGATTCCTGTTGATAAAAGAGACCAAGATAGAAAAGACAAATAGATAAGAGCGACAGGGAGAAGAGAATGAGAGGGAGAGGGGGGAAAGGGAGAGGAAGAGGGAAAGGGTAAAAGGAAGGAGAGGGAAAGTAAAGACGTAGAGAGGGAAAGGGAGAGGAAGAGGGAAAGGGTAAAAGGAAGAAGGAGAGGGAAAGTAGAGAAAGGGAGGGGGAAAAGGAGAGGGAGAGGGAGGGAGAGAATTGCATACATCTGTAAGAGTGCATATGTATATGCTTATGTATTTGTAAGTGTGCATGTGTAAATGAATGCATGTGTGCCAGTGTAAAGATTAATTTAGATATAATCATTAATGAGAAGTTTTATTATAATTATCTGAAACAAATTTAATTATCTATTACAAATGACATGTTCTTGATGAGCATATTTTTTTGATGTGGTAATGCAGATCCATAGAAACTTTGATATAAACCAGTAAGATATCATTTTACAGAAGTGATATGCCATCATAATTAACTAATTAATACCGCTTTTCATCAAAATAAACACACAATTGTAACTCTCAAATTATCCCTATTATCCTCTTACTATGCAACAAGTAATTTATCCCTATGTATCTTATCTGTGGCATTCTGAATACACGGGTGAGAAGACGCCTGGAAATGGACTTTACATGAGCTGCCCGGCCTCATGCGGGATCAAAGCAGTGCCATGTATAACGCAAGTGCAAATGTGGCCATTTCTTAGTTAACCCCTTGATGCCGGGTGACGCCGATAGGCGTGTAAACAAACTGCTCGAAAGCTGGCATGCAGCAGTTTTTTTTTTCCTTTTGTACACCCGGCGTCATTGGGTTAACATGGTACAAAGTTTCTGTGTGTTTTGCTTCCCATTGCATCATATTCACTTGGGCTGATCATGTGTGAATGAATGAGAGTACATATGCATGTGAATGTATTAAAGTGTCTGTTAAAATATACTTTATGTATGGAGTATGTATGTATATGTGAATGTGGACATGAATGATAAAAAAATTAAATACCAACTTAACTTAAAACATAAATCATAAGACAAAGAACCCGAGAAATTCTTTTTTCACTCTAAATAAAACAAATAAAAACATACAAGTAAACGTTAATGCAAAGCCTTAGGGTACAAAATATTTCATCCACAACAAGAACGTTCCCCAAGACTCCTAACCTCAAAGTTCTTCTGCCACTCTTTCTCAGCTTTCTTCTGCTCTTCCTCCTCGATTTCCTCCTCTCGCTTTCTTTTTCTCTCCTCCTGGTCGCGCGTTTCCTGTTGTCTCCTCTTGCGCTCCATGTCGGCGAAGAGCTTCATGGTCTGGACGTAGACAGCGCGTTTCAGTTTCTCTGGGTCGTCTTCATCCACGCGTGTGTCCTTGCCTTCTCTTTTGAGCTGCTTTTTCCGTTCCTCAATCTGTGGGGATGATGGGAAAAATGACTTTTTTTTCCTCTCTTTGAGTTTCTTTTTTTTTTCTTTTTTCTTTTTTCTTAATGCAGTATTCTTTGCAAAGAATAAAGATGAAGATCAGAATGAGAGGAAAGAAAGGAAAGAGAGTGAGACTATGAAATAGATGAGAGGGCTGGAAGGAGAGGGGGGGGGAGAGGGAGGGAGGGAAGGGGAGAGAGAGAGAGAGAGAGAGAGAGAGAGAGAGAGAGAGAGAGAGAGAGAGAGAGAGAGAGAGAGAGAGAGAGAGAGAGAGAGAGAGAGAGAGGAGAGAGAGAGAGGGAGGGAGGGAGAGGGAGAGAGGGAGGGAGAGGGAGGGAGGGAGGGAGAGGGAGAGAGGGAGGGAGAGGGAGGGAGAGGGAGAGAGGGAGGGAGAGGGAGAGGGAGGGAGAGGGAGGGAGAAGGAGAGGGAGAGGGAGAGAGGGGAGATGGGGAGACAGGGAGGGAGAGAGGGAGGGAGGGAGAATGAATTAGAAAGCGAGAAACTAAGAAAGAAACAAAAAGTAAAAATAAGAGAAATTCGGAGTAAGTAAAACAAAGACATAAAAATACGACCAATCCATCCACTTTCAAGACAGACATGAAAGGAAAAAAGGTGCCTCACCCTCTTTGCTACGATGGCCTCTGCTTCCTCTACGATATCCAGGCATTTCTGGCGTGTCGCCTCATTCTCCAAGCATCGCCATGCCTTTGTCACCTCTGAGAAAAGAGAGTTGCAAGTTAAAATTCGAAATTGAGATTTTTCACCATAGATGCCAAAAGAGTACGTTTAAAATGTAAATGGCGTTGTCCTTTCAATTTTGTTTACACATAGGTGGCTCCAAGGGCATAGACACCAAGGAACCAATTACCAGGCCTCCTAATCTTACCTCCTTTCCTCATTCATTGCACTTTTGGTAAGAAAAGTTTCTATATTCATAACCATCACTTTCTGAACTGCATTACGGTAACAGCAATAATGACACTTATAATGATAAAAACAGTATCTTTTTTTTTTCTTGTGACAAGAGTAAATTGTTGAGATCACATAGGCATGACTCCTTAATGTTTACAATCTTGAGAAGACATCTCCTATTTACAATGTTAATAAACAAAAACTACAGTGGACGATGCACATACTTACCATCAATGTGTTACATCTAGCTATGTGTCTGTGTATTTTAGGCTTATGGTTAGATTTTATATGTTTGTAAGGGTAGTAATATCATTCAGTTCTATTTTATTGAATTAATGTTTTTGTAGATGGCTCTGCTAGTGCTTATCCACAAAGGAGTCAATTAGTAGACTTTGTAACCTTACCTAACTTCACCATTGCCTGAATTTGCGGGAATTTTTTTTTTTCACCTAATGCTATGAATATTGATGGTGATATTTTTTTTGACAAAACATAATTGGCTCATTGGTGACTTAGTACAAGTGTAGCCATCTATGTGTAAAATAAATAAATAAATAAATAAAGTAAACTCAGAGTGGGCATGGTACGTACATACATGCCATGCCCGTCAGCTTTGAGTTAATAAACATATAAAAGAATATAATCAGTTACCATCATCTATCATAATGTAACTGAAAAACTGAAATTATAATAATAAAGGGAACTATCCCTAAATACAGAAAAGACAGAGGGAGAGGGAGGGATTAAGAGAGAGAGACAAGGAGAGACAAAGAGAGAGCAATAGAGAATGACAGCGAGACAGAGAGAGAGAGAGAGAGAGAGAGAGAGAGAGAGAGAGAGAGAGAGAGAGAGAGAGAGAGAGAGAGAGAGAGAGAGAGAAAACTTACCATCGAATGCTTTCTGGGCTCGCTCTGAGTCATCTTGATTTTTGTCGGGATGTACTAGGATGGACATCTGAAACGAGGGAGGGCAAATATGCTATAGCCAAGCTACACTATATACACAATTATGTATTTTGAAGGAACGACTAAATTCACTGACATATACACACTAAATATCCATCTACGGGAATTAAGAGTGAAAAGAGATCTTCAACCGGCTAAGAAATTACCCGTCGGAACTTCTTTTTGATTTCCTCTATTGGGGTGGTTGGGTCCACCTGCAGCACCTCGAAGGGATTCAGGTTGGCGTACGAGGCTCCCGGCCGAAGCAGGCGGTCGATTTGTTGCTTTGGGGTGAGGACGGCATCCCTCTTCTCCGTCTCTTTGAG